TTACAGGAATATGAATACATTAAATGAGAGATGAAAGCATTTGAAAAAACGTTTCTAAGAGAATTTCTTAGAAGTAATTCTAGCATTCCAAACTGCACTTAATTCTCATATCAACTGTGATAAATATTATTATTTTCAATGTTAATTACAGTCTACTTTAAACAAGAAATTTGAATGATTCGCAGATGCTATCTGTTCAAATCTAGTCTACCTTAGCAAGTTTTGAATAAAAAGAAGTATTACTTGTAGCTTTAGGCTTAATCAACTCGTTGACAGCAACGTCCCTAAAATTGCTTTTTCAATGTTTGAATAAAAGATGAATCTGAAATCTAGTGAAACAGGTCTTTACAAAATTAGTTGTATTTTAAATAGTTGTCTCTTGTAACAGCATTACATCTCTAAATAAAACTTGATACCTTTTTCACTATGCTAAGGGTATGACAACTATGTAAAGACAATCTCTATACAAACAAACCGATTTCAGCATTCGGTTGTGAATAATTCGCCAATCACTGGATGACGTATGAATGATATAGAGCTGTGCCTTATGCTATCGACGATTCTATTTCACGATATTATTTTCAGTACTTATGATAGGATGCTAGAATAATATTCTTGAGATAAATCTAGTTTCAAGCAGTTTTACATTTTTCTACTAAAGTTCAAGTATTTATTCTACAGATAACACGTATGTATATCACTAAGAGAGAAATAAATGCATTTGTGAATGTTAAGTTAAAAATAACAAATTAATCGCTATCCATTCATATCATTCAAGTAGTACTTTTTGAAACTTTTTAGAATGCTTCTTCTCTTAGGAATTGATAATAAAGAAAATAATATCAGAGAATGAGCTTAATAATAACAAACAAAGACAAACAATTGTTATAAATGGAAGAAGTTAGGTAAACAAATACTATCCATTCGTGCACAGTTCATCGTCATTATAACTTGAGAGTTCTGTATATTTTGGTAATATGTGGGAAAATATGAATATGGGAATGTTAAAAAACTGAGAATATCGTTTTTGAATGGGTTCAAATGCTTTACAGTTTTTAAGGTTAATGCCATAGTGTACTATCAGTTCTCTTCGATTTGAAAGTCAGTGTTGACCAAAAAAGAGAGACTCTTTCGAGCGGATTTTTGGCACATGATGAAGATCATCTAAGTTCACACAGATCTATATCAAGGATCGACTCGACACTAGAGTGTCATCGAGTTGTGTTCATTCTTGTTTCTTTCGAGAAACGAGAATCGTAAAATCATTCCGAAAACGAATGAAAAATTTTTTACATGTCATAATAACTCATAAGAGTAAGAACCTATAATTTTAAATCTGTGAATAAGAAACTAATTATCTAGATCACAAATATGTATAGTCATCGATTGATTTAAATAATACTTTCACATTTTGTATCAAAAAAGTTTCCAGATTAGTTTTAATCAAAGATCTATCTTTCAAGTGAATCAAACAGATGAAAAATAAAGCAACAAGTCTTTTCTCATGTGAAAGTTGGACAGAACTTCGGTTTGAACTAGTTGATTCTTTTCTAATCCGACCTCGTTCTAGAAACGCGGACATCCATGTTATTTTCACTTCATAAATTCTTTGAATGTTTTTCCTTTCATATGCATGACACGAAAATGATAGATTTGTGAAGTATAAAGCGACACAAATCCAAGAAATATTCATTTTATCATCGATGAACTTTTGCCATTTTCAAATTTATTCATGTCACAAGAAGGGTATGGGTGTGGGTGGGTGTGGATTTGATCTGCATTACACAGAGCCACACCCACGCCCACACACCCACACCCACACCCACCTACACCCCACACCCACGCCCACACCCCACACCCACACCCACTTGATCGCCAAATTTCAAATACTATTGTGAAATTTCGTTTATGAAGCTTGTTTTTTTTTTATAATACATACACAATATTTATTTCTTAAAAGAAAAATTTTTTTTCTAATTTCGAGTTTTGTCTCAGACATACAATATCAAATACACTTACGAGGCAATTACCTCAGCTAACACCCGTCGTTTGAGTTCGTATAGGACTCACATCTAAAATGGTTTGCCTTTATCGATCAGTTTACTAAATTTTCGATTCATTTGTCGGTAGTTTCAAAAAACATCACATGACAGAATTTCAATCTAAAAATTTCGTCTAATGACGATTAGAATATCCTAAGATTTTCAGAATATTCTTAGAGTCATTGGGCTTATCTATAGTTATTCAGTATTCCTGAGAGTATCTAACAATGGATATTATAAATCCAGTAAATTGGTGATAGCTCGGCGTCAAAGATCAATGAAGACGAACTCTTTTAGACTTTTGCTATTTTCACGAAGATCTGCCGGTGGACCCGATGTAAACTCAAATAGTGGGTATCAGTTGGAGTAATTCCCTCGTAAGTGCAGTACATTATTAAAGTAATGATGTAAAAAAGAAAAAAAGCTTTATATCTAATTTACTTGGTAAGAAAAAGCTAATAATAATCAATAAATAAATAGAGAGTAAGGAAAAAAAGCAATCTATATATCGTCCATTTAGGAAGATTCATCAAACAAAAGTACAACATTAGGAAAACACATCATCATAAGAATCTTGATTTATTATTTTTCAAAATCCTAAATAACCACAAGACCTATCAAAACTATCCGGCTCCTCTGCATCATCATGAACGTTAGTATGATTTGAAGAAAACTAAATTAAATATTGTAGTTTTTAATTTTTTCTGCAACTATCACATCAGTATTGGAAACGAATTGATGTAAATCTGAAAAGAAAAAAAACAACACAAAGTCAGACAAAAGATGCCATTTAACGAACAATAGAAAAAATAAAATATCGACCAGTATTTGATCATCATTTAAATATAATTTTTCAGTTAAAAACACATTTTAAATCTCACCTACAAAGTGTACAGCAGCATATATTTTCACAGCTGCAAATGTTTGTATATTTTGCTTCTGATGTGTACACTTACCATTAGAAACATAATGACTGACTGAAAAAGCGTAACTTCGATTGAATATCTCAAAATATCATTGACATTTCTGTTCTTTCCATTGATAGATGACGCTCGTTTAGTTCTACATGAAACGAGACAGTGTATAAAATGAAAGACTTTTCATTAATCGAGATGCTTAATTAAGATATTTTCTCTGCTAAACGTTCAATAGAGATGTGTTTTGTCCATATAAATACTAAAAGTGAGTCTAAAGACATTACAAACAGGTAGCTTACAGAATGGTCGAGTTTACAAGAAAAAAGAATGCTACGTAGACAGTTTTCAAAATCAACTAGGAGATGACGCGAAGATAGAATAATACTCAGTAAAGAAAAATGTTGTGCATCGATCGCAATCAAACATTTTCGTAATTAACGTTGGTTACGACCAACACACAGCAGTTTTCTTTGCCGGAGATTACTCTTTCTTCAACCTTCAACCAGTGTTTTGAAAAGAAGATTCTATCCCTTTTTTTTTGTCTTCAAAGTTCTAGGAATCGATGTGTGCATGTGAATGAAAAGAAGATCCACACCGATCTAAATTTCATTAACTATTTTTATTTTATTGTTTAATGTAGAACAAAATCATTCGATTTCAAAATCTCTATTAAAGAACACGCTTTTTTATCATTAGTAGTTGTATTCGTTTTGTAGAGAGACTAGAGAATAGAAAATAGAATGTGCTGGTGCTGACGTGTATAAAGATAATAAGTATTTACATCTTGAATTCATTAATCATCTATCATGATATGTCCACGATGCATTCAGATCAATGATGTTCTTTCCAATTTTTGATGAAAATCGCCAATAACAAAACAAAATAAAATAAAAACTTAGGTAATGATATATACGCCTGGAAAAAAATAGCTTTAGTCCGTATTTTTAGTATATTGTCACTATAAAAACTCATTCTTAAAAAACTAATTACATATTCTGAAAGCGTGTGGAGTTTTCTATCAGTCTATATATTTATGTTTTGGTTTGAATTTGTGCATTACGAAAATAAATGCAGTACAATGAAGACACCCTCATGTTCAGATTCCCAACAACAAAATTTTCTCAGTGTCATGAAAATTAGTTTTTAAACTTTTTTATCACTAGAACAGTACCTTATGAAAAAACTAATTATATATTCTGATAAAGCTTAAAATTCTCTATCATCCTATATATTTTTCAATCGTCTTGACTATATCTATTCAAAAGAAAAATCAAATACATTGAACATAATCTCAATTTAGAAGGATCAAAAAATCCTCATTTGACATAGCTAAATTTTCACACAAAACCAATTATAGATTTTGATAGAGTTTGCGATCCTGTACCATGCCACATGTTTTTGCATTGTCTTCAGTCTATTATATGCAGCACATAGATCCAGTATAGAAGAAAAACATACAGGATGACAGAGCATTTTAAGCTCTATCAGAATATATAATTAGTTTTTTCAAAAGATACTGTTCTAGTGATAAAAAAATTTAAAAACTAATTTTCATGATACTGAGAAAATTTTTGTTGGCGAATCTGAACATCAGGGTGCCTTCATTGTACTGCATTTATTTTCGTAATGCACAAATGCAAACGAAAAAATAAATACATAGACTGATAGAAAACTCCACGCACTTTCAGAATATGTAAATCGTTTTAAAAAAATGGGTTTTTATAGTGACAATATCCTAAAAATACGGACTAAAGCTATTTTTTTCCAGACATATATGTAAGTAAAAGTACATTTGAAAGAAAACGATATTTCTAAAGGTATTATTGAGACCACGCTACAGAACTATGATACATAAATGTCACCTTATTGAGGTGCAGACTTAGGCCCTTAACATGCGAGGTCTTTCTATGTTATTGTGTCATCATACTAATATGTATGGATAGACTTGAAATGTTTGAATCACATAAATAATAAGCTCCCTCTCTTTCAATACATTTATTCTATACAGACACAAATTTATATAAGTAACAAAGTAAAGTAATCAAAATATATTTAATTTAATATCACCAAAGTAGTCGTTGAAATATTTTGGAAATCGAACAATTCTATCAAAACATTGATATGTCGCTTTAGAACAATTAATTTGTGTTGCGTTTCGTCTAAAATTGAGTGTTACCCTTTTTAAAGTTTTATAATTGACATAAATATCAACATCATATGGTAAAATCGTTTTGGTATCAAGTAGAAATTGTTCTACATAATCATCATGACTATCTTTAAAACGAATATATTTAAGATGAGGATAGTCAATTATTAATAGATCTTGATTGTTATTTTTCAATTTTCTACATTGTTTATCGTTTTGTGGTTTTCGATTCGTTATAGTAAAAAATTTCATAAATGGAAATGATTGAGCGATTCGAATAAAAAATTCATGTTCAAAAGGATGTTCATCAAATAATGATACTTCGCTAACACATGTAAATAATCCACCTGAAAAATTATTCGCGATATTTTCATAACTTCTTGCTGTAAATGGATATGAATAGATATGACAATAACCTTGTTTTGCTTCTAGAAAATAATTAACACAAGAAATAATTTGATTATTTGTAAAATCTTTAAATGAATGTTGAATATCTTCATTTGATAGTAAATCAATCTGATCTTTTAGAAATATACTTGAGCGAAAATCAAAGTGAAATTGATTTAATCGTGGCATATAATTAATAATATTTTGTTTTAAATCATTTCCATCAATAAATCTATTATTACAATTGACAGACAAGTACAAACTAAGTTCTTCTAAATTTGACATTCGATGTAACATTGATATAACTTCATCATAGAAATTTATTCCTGAAAGACAATATAACGAAAAACATTGCAAATTTGGTAGTTTGGGCTAAAAAAGATAATATAGATATTGATGACGTTTAATAAAAACATACTTTATTTATTTTAGAGACCGAACGTAAATATGGTAATGCTATATCGACATAGAATGTTTGAAGTTGATTGAAACGACCATCAAGGAAATAAAGACAATCTTCAATAAATCGTACTTTGACATCTAATTGTAATAAAGTTGACGAGAACATAGTTGGAGGTGAAACTATGAATGATATTTGTTGATTACAAATAAAATCTGGATCAAAATTTAAATATTTTAAATTAGTGAATATATCGAAGATACATGTAAATAGACGTGTATCTAGATTTGCTTTGTCATATTTGTTAATAGTTTCGATGACGAGTGATGAAATTTGATTTTTGAATACATGCACTAAAGTTTCATCTAAATATAAATGAAGAATTATTATCAAAAAAACTGATTTTTCTTTTCTTTTTATAAAAAAAAAAAACGATAAATTATATTTTATAGTAAACGTAAATAAGTGTAAAAAGAATTGATTTAGATGATTTGAATTGTCATTTACGTTAACATATTATTTATGAAAAGAATTGAAATAAAAATATCATACCCATTAATAGATCTAATGCTGTCTGCTTTTCAATATTAGCTATACCAAGTCCAGTTAAATTTGGATAATTTGCAGAAAGAAGAATACGTTTCATAGTTAAGGGTTCAAGATTAAGCCAATTGATTTTATGATGAATTTCAGGTAGGATTTGTAAACAAAATCGATCAAGCATTATTTTAGGTAATGGATAAATATAACCATTTGTTAAGTAACCGAATAATGTTAAACAACTCGTAAACATAGAATCATGTGCAATTTCATTAAATCGTTTATTAACACCGATGATAGAGTAAAGTAGATTAATATTGTTTAAGTTTTTGAAAATAAGAACGAGAATTTCATTGGGTAAATCATTCAATTGAATAGATGAACAGTTCATTATGACTAGGGATGTGCGGTTACAGTGCACAAACTGTGAATACCGGCACTGACGTCACCGAAGAACGGTACACTGAACACTGGGTTACACCGCAGTGATGTCACTGACACTGGCACTAAACCAACACCGAAGGTCACTGATACACTGTCGTTCACTGCAGCACCGACATTCACTGACCACTGATCACACCGAAATCGGTCTTCAGTGGAACACTGATACACTGATTCTTTCATAGTAAATCATCTTGTACGATTTTGTTTATAATTCTCAATGACAGATACAGAAATGAGCCCATAGACACTGTCTGGAAGCATCATAAAGTTGGATTATTTAATTTTTGAATAATTAACCCAACTGTTCTTAATTATTTCACTGTTAACTGTATTCTTAATTCGTAAATAGTTTTGCGAGCTCAGATTCTTCCTCATACATAATATGAAATATCGAACGAAAAGATACAGAGGGTAGTGTTGGATATCATCGATTTCATTCTTCTATTGCGCTCATTAAAGTTGAATTCGAATAATGAATCAGATGACGTTTAGAAGAATGGGTGTAAAAAAAATACAATAGAAAAAAAGATAGAAAATACTTAAAAAAATACGAGGTTATATATAAGGAAGATAGCTCAAGGAAATTCCTTCATTTGTTAACAGAATATAAGGTTAAATAAAATCAGTTATAGAAAAAGAAAAAGAAAAAGAAAAGGCATTAAACGACTATGTTGCTATTTAATCAAAAATTTTAGTGAGTTCATTTCTTAATAACGGAAGATGTCATAGTATTTATTAGGGTCTAGATGGTTTACCCTACTTCTTTATTTTAATACAGCACTGGCTAACTAAAAATGGACGCACACACATATATTTATATATATTTCACTATCCAGGGAAACATGTATATATGTATATAGTGGTGGACGACTACATGAAAGAAAAAGAAAATATAGAGGTGAAATCAGTGCCAACATGAAAACGAAGAAAGAAGAGAATAAAACAAGGGAAAGAAACGATGATGGTATATGTAAGGGCAAAGCCCTAACAGTATTAAATGCAGAGATAAAAGTCATCGACAATCAACATCATTGTGTCAGTGTTCCACTGAAGACCGATTTCGGTGTGATCAGTGGTCAGTGTATGTCGGTGCTGCAGTGAACGACAGTGTATCAGTGATCTTCGGTGTCGTTTTAGTGTCAGTGTCAGTGACATCACTGCAGTGTCACCCAGTGCTCAGTGTACCGTTCTTCGGTGATGTCAGTTATCAGTAAACCGAAACTGCACATCCCTAATTATGACCTAGATGTTTATATATTTTTCTTACGTTATGAATGTCAATAATTGTACTTGTGTGTTTATACTCGTTCGTCCGATTTCACCGATATCGTCAATAAAAACAATGATGCTTTTTTTTCTTTAGCCTAATGATGTTAATAGCAACGAATGAATGAATGAATGACATTTCTTATTCTTTCATGTTATTCATCACACTTGATGAACATTTTCTTAGTCAGTTAATTTGAAGTACGACAGATGAAGTATTATATTGAGAATGTTCTTCATGGCATATATATGTCCTATCGAAGTTATAACTTCGTCAACATTCTTGATGAAGCTATAACTTTGTCGTGCAACATTGACGAAGCTACAACTTCGTCATATACATGCAATGAAGTTGTAACTTCGATGCTCACAATTATCGAAGTTATTTCAAATCAACTGAATATCAAATAATAATTAATTATACTAAAATCAGAATTTATGTTTTTAATTAAATATTCATTTTAACACCATTCATATTGCTTTTTACGAAAACAAAAAAAGAGGGTGTGGGTGTGGCGCTGGGTGTTGAAGTTGATTAACAATTAAATACACATCCACACCAACTGCCACAGCTACAGCCATAGCCGCAGCCATACCCACCCACACCTCACATCAACCCACACTTCACATCCACCCCATACCCACCTCACACCCACCCCCCCACCCACCCACACCCCATACCCACCCACACCCACCCCACCCCCCACACCCTCAGAAAAGAGTTTTCTGCACTGTATTTTGAAATGGATAACAGTTATTGGCTTGAGTAAAAGCATTATATGTAAATTGAAATGATGAAATTGAGAGTAAGTTAAAATGTCAATAAAAGACAAAGAGTTAAAAATTATGATAGACAATAATACTCTAACAAAAATCTTTAAAAAATAAACTAAAATACTTTAGTAGGCATAGATAGATAAGGAAATCTGTATAGCTGCGCAATTAAATACGTTATCTTATCTGCCTGTAATCGATGTAACAATAACGAAGAAAACGGCAAATAAAAAGAGAATGCTGATAATAAACTCTTAAATCGTTTTGTGTTTTGTTGGTATTTTCCAACTTATTTTTATATAAATTCAGTTTATAATACCGTTAAGGACAACAAATATGTACGTCAATTTCATATTTTTTTCCAGAAAAACTTTGGTGTGGGTGTGAGTGCGGGTAGGTGGGTGGATATGGGTGTGGGTGCGGATGTCAGTGCGGGTAGGTGGGTGGATATGGGTGTGGGTGCGG